CATCCTTATATAGGGATCTGAACCTGTGGCCTTGGTGTTATCAGCACCACACTCTCCCAAGAGAGCCATGGGCCCGCCCTCTGACTGGTGATTTTTAACCAGTTTGCTTTAAATTAAACTTATCTTAGATATGTAACAGTTCAATTTTAGTGCTAAACTAAATAGGATCTAAACTAAATAGTTATAGAACTGAATATAAGGGAAACTTGATTTATTTCAGGGGGAAATTTAGGTTAAGATGATGAATCAATTTAGAAATGTATCTCACACTCCACTGCCTTAACTTCCGAATAGTGTTTGAAAAAAATTTCTAATTGATACATAATAATTACACATATTTATGGGTTACAGGATATTTTCTTTTGTCTGCTATTTTTCTTTAGTTGAGGAAACGTGTGAAGCTTGAAGGGAAAGAACTTGAGGAATACTTGGAAAAAGAGAAACTAAAGAAAGAAGCTGCTAAAAAACTTGAACAATCAAAAGAGTGAGTTATTTTCAGACAGATTATAAGCTTACGTATGTAATTTGAAAAGGATGTATTGCTATGACTTAAACGTTTAGTTGAAAATATTTAAATTTTCTTAGGACTTCATTACTTTTGTTACAAGTCACCTTTCAAGTGCCTAGAATACCAAATCCTTTCAGTGCTAATATTAATATGTATGTATTAACTGGCAGTTAATATTTTACAAAATATCAATCCAATAATATTGAATATTACTTTATTATCATTTGAATTAATATGGACTATTCAGTAAGAATGTTATAAATATTAATCTTAAATCTCTTTGGGACTTTATGAACTTGATCTATTCAAAAAATCTTCCCAGGGCAGATATAGATTCCAGTGATGAGAGCGATGTTGAGGAAGATATTGACCAGCCATCAGCTCATAAGACGAAGCATGACCTGATGATGAAAGGGGAAGGTAGTCGTAAAGGAAGTTTCTTCAAACAGGCAAAAAAGTCTTACCCTATGTTTCCTGCCCCAGAAGAAAGAATTAAATGGGATGAATATGGAGAGATTATCAAGTATGTGAGCAAACCAAACTTTTCTTTCTTCCAAATTGGAAGTGTTTGTGTTATCATTTCAGCTCAGTGAATTTGGTCTTTCTGGTCACCATGTACTTTGTTAGTTACTGAGTACCTCAGCTTGAAAGATATATATGGAAGAC